CTTAAGAATTAATAAGAATAGGTGGTAGGAATTGGCTAGGCAGTTAGGGTAAAAAGACCCCCCCCCAAAAAAAAGTAGCCAGCTTCTTGGCTAAAAGTCAAAATGTCTTTGGGCCTCTTAGCAACATACTCTGTTCCAAAGGCCAAACATTTCAAACGTATTTGGGAGCTCTTACCTAATCCCTAAAAGATTTCAGGGTTACCTCTTCAGAGGTGAGAATGTTAGAATGGCAAAAAGCCCCATAAAAAAAGTACATGAACTTGTCAGGAAAAAGTGATGGGGAGATATGGGGGGAGTTGGAGGGGAGGGAGTGGGAGTGAACTTGATCAAAACACCTTATATTCATGTATGAAATTCTCAATAATTTTTTAAGTTAAAAAAAATCAAAGCACTGAAAGACAGTGTGCATGTTTATTAGAAAAAGTGATGACTGGGAAGAGTGCTTGACATGGTATATATGAGATGCTCTAGGCCTAGGGGTAAAAGACAAAGATTGTCTGATAAGGGTGGATCTAACCTTGTAGCTCCCCAATTGAAGTTGAAGAAATGTATGAATAAAAGTATGGGTGAGGGTTATAAAATGAAATATACTTCTGGGAGACCCACACTGAGTGCTCTCTTGGTTTTCAGGCCCATTGGGAGGTACGCTGCAAGCCTCTCTCCTCATGTTGTCCTTACAACAAAAATTACAGTTTAGAGAATAACGATATTTATTCAAGTTTCTTTACAGAGTTTGTGATGTCTGGGAGGGGGTTCCTTACCAAGGCATGCACCCGTGGGCTTTTTTCTTTCCAGATCCCTTGCTGCCAGCCTGCCAGTCCAAGATAGTGAAGCTCCCACCACCTCCCTGGCTTCTTTCCTGTCTGACCTTAGACCCTCCACCTCATGCAACTGAAGTTGCACAACTGGGTTGGAGTAGTAACTGTCTCCCTTCCTTCCTAAGGAGTCTCTTAGGGTTCGGATATCCAGCTGTTCCTAGTTTTTTTGGAGGACACACTTATCCAACAGGCCTGACTCTAAGACACAGTTACATGGCACAGTTCTGAGAGACATCTGAGGGAAAGGGTGTCCTACAAGTTCAGGCCCACTCTTAAAAGCTAAAGTTAAGAAGCAGGCTGTTTCATTCACATGCTAACTATAATGCAGCATGGAAATGCCACATTGCTTTAACCCACAAGAAAGTCAAGACTGTCCTTAACTTAAAATCTTATTAGAAGTTGGCTGACTTCCTTAATTAAGAAGCATCTCTGATGAGAGTTGAGAGATGCATTAATGTGTGGGTATAACAAGTCATTAGGAGTTGATTTAATATTATGTCTATTTAGCATAATGATATGAATAGTCTGCCCTATGACCTGCGACCTGTCTATCCACAGATTCTTTGACAAGATAGCACTGTCAAGTATGGGCTCCATCTTGTGAAGTGAATTTCAATTCTAATCAGAAACTGATTGATTATTCCCATAAATGTTACCAAATCCAAAATGTTAATTGTAGGAAGTGATGGATTTGCTAATTATCTTGATTGTGAAAATCATTTCAATATATATCACAGTGTATACTTGAAATATGTAATTTTTACTTGTC